TTTCTGGTACTCTGGTGCTGATGGTGACCTTTGAAGCTGCCATAGGTACACTCAAGCCTTGGAAGGCTAATAAAGGATCAGAGATGGGATATAATCTGATTTACATATTAGAAAGTCTCTCCAATTACTACAGAGGAGAATGGAGTTTTCAGCATAAGAGGAAGAACAGCAGAGAGTAGTTGGGAGTTTTGTGTAACAGCCTCTGTAAGAGATGATGACTTAATTACCAAGTTGGGGCAGGGGGGGTAGCCGCGAATCCAGTGGAAAGCATGTAGATTCAGGCTATTTTCTAGAGGTAAGAACACAGGGGATTTGGAAACAGACTGGAACCCGGAGGCAAAGGACTGACTTAACTGACAGGAATGCAACTATACCTAGTAATTTTGCGTAAGTCAACTGAGTGACTAGTGAAGCCATTGACAGAAGGAAGGAACAGTGGGGGAAAGGCTGGTGTGAGGTGGTGGCTCTTTAGACAGAAGAGACAAGACGGTTTTATGTTTTGTTTTGTTTTATGCAAAGTTTGAAATACTTGTAGAACATCCAAATGGAGATTGCCATGAGATTTAGGATCCTATGTCAGAACTCAATAAACAGATAAGGATGACAGGTACAGATTTGAGAGCCATCAATTTAAGAGGATATTTAAGACCCTGATATTGGTGAAATTGCCTGGGAGTAGAGGATAGACAAAGAAAATAGGAAAGAGCCAAGATGGTCTTGGGGTCTCCAAAACTGAGGATTCTGGCAGAGGAAATAGCGATAGGAGTAGCATTGAATCAGGAAGGAAAGAATAGCTGTTGTCTCACACACAGATATGACATGCTACTTAATGTTATAACAGGTATTTACAAAACTACTTTTGTTAGAAAAAAAATTGGCTCTTCACTTGCACCTGAAAAAGGCTTCAGCCTCCATTTTATCTATTCTTTGCTCTGAGCCATTTTGTCCTGAAGTCACTTTGGACGCCAGGATGACAGAGAGGCTGAATCAAGAACTCGTGATGGAAATCTAAGCTGCTCTCCAGGCACCAATGACTTTGTCTTGGTGATAAAGTTTTGCCTAATCAATCCTTACATCTTTGACCATCCTTTTCTTGGAACTTCTCACTGGCACAATGTTCACCGCTTTTTCAGTTATCCCTTTCCTTAACCCTGGGGAGAGTACTCTGAAGATGGGCTGGAATGCTTGCTTTGCTTTATGTCAGGAATGTATGCAGCAGAAATCCTGCTTGTTTCTGTTTCTCCATTACTTCCATTTACTTTTTTGGGGTGGTTAGCTCAACCTGAATTAGGCCTCTGTCCTAAGATTCCAGCGACAGTGTGACTGAAATGACTTACTTGCTTATTAGACTTTGACAAGCATAGATCATTAGAGACCTTGAGAGAAATGTCAGTTAAGAGTCAATGTTGGTGGTTTCTCCTTCTTTGTCTTTCATGATTACCTAACTTTTAAAGCTATATTGACAAAGCTATGATGATTTGAAATTAAATTCATCAGGAACATAGTTGGGCCAGGTCTCAGCTAAGTGGGAAGATCAAGGTCAGCATTTGTCATAAATTCAAGACCCTAACAGAAAAATGCAACTAAAAAAGGGCTGGGGTTTGGTTCAACTGGTAGAGTACTTCCTCACAAGCTTGAGGCCCTGAGTTCAAACCCTAGTACCACCAATTTTAGACTTAAAAGCTTTTGTCTTCATATGTAATTTCATTTTTATACTTTTGTCTTTAGTGATGGAGCTATTTTTTGTATGTATTCTGCTTCTATGAGTTCATCTGAATCAAAACTATATGAATACATTAAGAGTAGAAATCTTGAGTCAGAGCAAGATTCAGTGTGTGATATATGGACATGTCTAATAAAATCCCCTTATAAAACTAATCCTAGAAAATGTGTGAAAAAGATAGAGTACAGCAAACATGAAGTTTTGTTGGGCTTGATCATATTAAGAAGCATCTATTATATTTGTATTATATTAACATCATAAGATTTTTTTCTTCTAAGTTGAGAAGCATTTGATTATTACCAAATGTGATTTTGTCTCACTTCTGGTTTATTGGTTCTCCACTTATTTTAAGGCTTTCAATACTGATAGAAGTAAGTTGGTGATCACAACAGACACAGGTTTTGAAGCTCTGTGTAAATCAAAATGATAAAAAAAACAGAGTCTAAGCCACATTTTAATTTTAGTTTTATATTTTTTGTTGGCATCAATTAGTGGTATGAAGAGACTGACATGTTCATATATGCCTGGAATGTAACTTGATTAGTCTCAACTCTCCCTCATCCCCTGTCCCTGCAGAAGGAGAGTTTATGTCCAAATCCCAATGTCCTAATTCTTGTAGGTAGAAACACAGGCCCAAACATTCCTCTTTGAAAGGAGGAGAGGCACATTAATGTCAAGTACGTTAATACTAATATTAGATGATGCAGTTATTGAATATTGTGCTTCTCTCTCACCCCTTTTTTATACCAGAATTTCCTACATTTAGATTTGGATATTTATCGTGTTTCTTACATTTATATTTAGATAATCATCCTAGATTTAATTATTTTTATTATATTTTTGTCTTTCAGTACTACAATTTTGTTATTTCTTCAAAATATCTAACCAGAAAAAAAATAAGACCACTAGGTGACATGACTAGATTTTAAAAAATATTTTAAAAAGTTTGCCCAGCTGCATAAAAGCTCACATAAGTTAAAAATTTTAAGCTACTTCGCATCTAGGCCGAATCAAGAATTTCAGCTGGTATTCTTTTCACTAGATTTGAGTTTAGTGTACTCAAACTAGATAAATATATCCTAAGTTTGTGAATGGATCACATTTAGGAACCAATGTATAACTGACCCTACAGACTCTGCCTATCTAAATTCTCCCTTGCTTTCATACATTTTTAATTTTTTTTTATCGTTATTGTAAAGGTGATGTATAGAGGAGTTACAGTTACATAAGTCAGATGAGTACATTTCTTTTTGAACAGTGTCACCCCTTCCCTCCCAGTTTTGCCCTCCCATCTGCTCCCAACTTACTTTATTTTCAAAATTTACACTGTAACAATTGGAAATCTATATGCAAATATATTAACCACTTCAACCTAAACCTCTCACCTTATATAAAAAATTAATTCAAGATTAATTCAAAATGAGTCTTTGCTGCTTTCATGTGTTGAGTCTCTTCTCCCTCCCTCTGCCCTGCCTGGCTCTTTACCTCCTCACCCCCATACAACTCCTTTAATTATTCTGTCTTATCTTCCTTGGTTTGTATCTTTTGCATCTTTTCTATTGAATGGCTATATCCTTAGGGAAAAAATCTTCGTCTCATTCCCAGGCACATTCCATTTTTTCAGTTCCAATAGAGTAATAGATGTTTGATTATTTACAAGTAATAAACAGGGGTATTATGATGTTTTTAATAGAAGTTCCAGGTAAATAGTATTTCAGCCGGTGTTTTACTTTTTTTTTTTTTTGGGTCTGGTTGTGGGGCCTGAACTCTGGGCCTGGGCGATGTCCCTCAGCTCTTCAGCTCAAGGCTAGCGCTCTACCACTTGAGCCACAGCTCCACTTCCTGCTTTTTTCTTTTTGCTTATGTGGTGCTGAGGAATCGAACCCAGGGCCTCGAGCATGCAAGGCAAGCGCTCTACCACTGAGCCACCTTCCCAGCCCGGGTGTTTTATCTTTTTTTGTAATAGGTTTATAGTTAGTAATTAGAGATGGGTTTTTATCACAGACTTAAAGCCCCTTAGAACAGGGGACACCATTATTCATACAAAATGCCAAAAGGATGAATCTGAGTTTGCTGCATTTGCAGGAGACCAGGGAGATTTCAGCAGGAATTTCAACTGAGTTTGGACATTGTAGGAAGGAGGTAACATATATAAGGGAATTTTCCAAATGGAGACTGGAGAGTGGGCATATGGAGACTAGCTTTGGTGGGTTTTCCTATTTATAATATTGAGTTGACAGAAACTTCACAGATTGGTTATGAGTACCCTGGTATGGAAGAGGAGTTTGGGGAAGCTGAAATATTTATTGAGGTGGAAGGCTTTGCAATAGCTTTAAAAATTCATTTTGTTGCCATTCAAAAGAAGTCTTCTTAAAATTGTTGGGCAGGGAGGAGGCTGAGGGGGCTGAGGGCCTGAACTTCGGGACTTGTACTCTTGCTTGGCTTTTTTCGCTTGATCAAAATGCTATTTTTAAGACTGGCATTTTCATTTGAGCCACAAGTCCAGTTCCTTGGAACATTTTGTTTTAATGAATAGTGGAACACACTGCTTCTGTCTTTTCATGTCACTTAATGCATAGTTACTTGAATTTGTAAGACTGTACATTTTGAAAATACCGAAGAGATGGTTACTATACATATTTTGTTGGATTTTTTCCCATAGGAAATGAATAGGGAGAAATTAAAATTTATATTTTTTCAGAAAGAAATAGTCATCTTTGTTGCACAAGTAATCAGCTTAGATATAACATTTTCAAAATTTTAATTTATGGTGCTTTAAATAAAACATGAAACAGGTTATCACATAACTCAGTTCCTTTTTTTTACATTTTATTTTATTAGTTCATCAAATTAATGTCTTAGGTTTGTAAGGTTCTTTCATACTGTTGTCTAATGTTATAACCCAGTTACACTAAAATATTACAATACTTATTTGTAATTTTTTCTTTTATTGAAGCAGGTAATTTTCATATCCATACTGAAACTAAGGAGCTTTGACATTTTTATCTCATAAAAGGTATATTCCACTTAAAGTGTCATACCTCTTCTCACTTCCAAATACTATAGGCAGTGTTCAGATCAAAACCAAGTGCTGATTGGAAAAGGGAGAAAGGGTTATTTTCCTAATCTGGTCATCCCTAGTAAACTAGTGAGCAGTTAACCTCTTAGTGCTTTTTTCTTTTTCTGGATGTGGAAGTCCAAATATATGTATGGAGTTTGTGATCATATTAGTGCTTATTTTAAAGTAAATATTTTCTGTGCTTCATTTATATTTTAGGAGAAAACCAAAAGCCAGGGCACCGCTTCCTCCTTGTGAGACCAAATGTGTTGACGTCTCTTCAGCTGATGGATCTGCAAAGCCCACCATGGAACAGAAGGAAAACAGGACTGATAAAGACATTGAACTCTCCGTGGTTCTGCCTGGGGATATTATCAAATCGACTACAGTCCACGGAAGGTAAGCTGAGGTAGCCTAAGTTCCAGTACCTCCTTTCCAGTTCCCATTATTGGAACTCTGTGACACCCCCGGTGATGGTGATTTCCTTTCTTTGGCCAAACTCCCTATTCAGTCCATTTATCTATTTAAAAAAAAATGTTAGATGGGTACAATTTTTTTCCTGCCAATGTTTTTATATCGATACTACAAATTCCAACAATCCACTGGAGTGATTTAGAATTTGGAATTATTTTATGTCATGTTGTTTATTTAATACCTTTCCCTGAGGTATAGTTATGGCTTGCACTGAAATTGAAGGTCAAGCTCACAAAGTCTAGGATATGTAACAAAATCCTTCCACTTCCCAGATATCCTTCCAACTTCATGCTGCTGCTTGGAATTGGCAGAAGTGAACATCTACCTGTGAAATTATTGTAATTTTTGAGTCATTGATTCAATTAATTTGAAATGTGGATGAGATAAATGGAAATGTAGAGTCAAACTTTAACCCAGCAAAGATTTAGAAGAGTGATAATTTTAAATACCTCCATAAAAGTTTGAGAACTGGAACACAGCCAAAGGTAATTTTCCATTTCATTCTGAAATGGAAAGTTACCCCAACTATATATTTGATCTTTTTCTGCTTTTTACCTTCAACTTCTCACTGTTACCCACGTGCACATTGATCTGTTTTGATCTTAGTATAGTGTGTGCATCTCTTAGCAAAAGAATGAGTAAGCAACAACAAAAAAATTATTAGATTCTTATAATCTGCCTTTGTCTAGAAAATTTATCCAAGTTAACCTTAACTTTAAGGCTTATCAAATCATATATTACACTACAAATTATTAAAAACAGATTAAAACAGAAGCTTAGTTTTAGTGAATAGTACTGTGTATTAGAATTTCCATTAAGTCTGAGTAAGTTTTGCCATTTGTTTGTAGTGAACATAGTTTTAGAGATAATAGGTTGAGTCTTGTTTTGAAGATTATGGATGTCCATGGAGACCTCTATGGTGGCCTTTTAACCTGCAGCTGCCTACTGCCTCTTGCATGGAGGGGAAGCACATTCAGAGTTAGAGGTGATGGTATCACCTCAACACTTGAAATCATGTCATTGCTCAGGTTCTAAAATATGTATTGAAATGAGAGTGACTGATAGTAATAAAGGCAATTCCTTTCTTTTCCCAGGATTCAGGCAATAGAGTCACTGGGCATACTGATTCTAACCTGTATTCCCAGCTACTTGGGAGGATAACTGTTGAAAGCAAGCTTGGGCAAAACCTTTGGAGATCCTCTTTCAAAGAATTAAAATACATTCAACTGTTTTTCTAGTTCCTTACTGAAATTGGTTTAATCACCTTTGTATCCCAGAACTATTTGGATATACCAGTCATCTCTTTGTGTTGCTGTCTCTTCTGCTTTCTATTAGCCAGCCTTTAATTTCATTTAATTTGTTTTTAAATATCATATGGAATTCCATATGCTCTTTATATGGGAATCAACCTCCACAAGCCCCCGCCTATGGCAAATGGGGGATAGCAGTCACTGAGATGTTCCATCTAACAACCTTTTCAACACCTACCTTTCTCCATTCTTTTCTTCACCTTCCTTCTTCCCAGATTAGCTAATCTGTGATTATTCTTTGTGTTGCTCTATTTGCTTCCATGTTTACCTGTTCTTTATTTCCTCATATACTTTAAATATAACTGATAATTTCTGCATCAAACACTTATACCAGGACCCTAGACTTCTCTTAGTCTCTTGACCTACTAGTTCATTTACCTTCCCATTCTTATAGCTTCAATAGACGTTTTTGTTTCTGGGCCACCAGCTGTGTTGAATTGCTTCATTTTCTTATCTATAGAAATGTATTAGGCCTGCGTTTTTAGGATTAAATAACACATCATATATTACTAGGATTAAATGAAATCCTATCAATGGTTGGCACCTACTGGTTTCCTCTACTGGACTAGGTGGGAAGGAGACAGGTGCTGGGGATTGAACCTAAGCCTGGGACATGCTACTCAAGTACTCTACTGCTGAGCTCTATCCTCACTTTTTTTCCTCTATTTTCTATTGGGTGATTATGCAGACAAATTGACTAAAGTACCTCCCAGTTTGTGGCACTAAGTTTGATAAAAGACTACAGCGACGAAGACAATTTAAAACCAAAATTTGTGAGTCCAGATAACCAAGTGTTATTTTCATCTCTGTAATTAAGAAGGCTTTTCTTTCACTAATCACATTTATATATCTAAAGCTTCACCACGTGATCCTTTGTTCTACAGATACTTTCCTGTTTCATTCCCTGCCCCCAGCCCTATATGTTTATAAACATTCCTGCCTGGAGGAATTTACTGCCCTTCTTTGCTCCAGTCAGGTTACATAATTCCAATGATACTTTTTACATAAAGGAAACAACTATTTCCTCTGGCTTCTAAACCTTTTGACTTTTTATCTGTTAACGTGAAAGCTATAGCCTCAAACCTGATAGATAGGAAGAGTAGCAATATAAATGGGATGCTGTAAAAGGTATTTGGAGGTGGACCTTGGCTGCATTCCCAGAATCCTTTAAGAACAGAGGTTTTATTTTATTTTTTTTTGTCTCCCACCCCTCTCTCCCAGATAGAGAGATAATTGGGAATGTCTCTAATGTTTGAAAAATTTTATCTAGGGCTGGAGCCTTTTTATAAGGACAGCGTTTGTATGCTTTTATTGCAGGGGTTGATTAAAGAACTTTGCTCTAATAGTTTTATTATCCAGTAATAATTTATAGCTGTGACTTTTTAGAGACATAATTACATGATCATTTTAATATTGAGTGTTTATGATTTTAAAGCCTTTGTATAATTCTGCATGTATTTGCAATATGATTTTGGAATATCTTTGGGAATGTGATTCTAGATATTTTAGGGTATTTTAGGCATATAATTCTAGATTCTTGTGAGTGTGATTTGGGAGATCCTAAGAGTGTGATTAAGACTGCTTTAAACGCTGGACGCCAGTGGCTCATGCCTATAATCTTAGCTACTCAGGAGCTTGAGATCTGAAGATCATGGTTCAAAGCCAGCCTGGAAAGGAAAATCTGTTAAACTCATCTCCAATAAACCACCAGAAAACTGGAAGTGGTGCTGTGGCTCAAGTGGTAGAACACTCACCTTGATCTGAAGAGCTCAGGCCCAGAGCTCAAGCCCCATGACCAACCAAAAAAAAAAAAAAAAAGATTGTCTTAAAAGTTACAGCTACAGATGTTTAAAAATGTGTTGCATAGTAGTAACAAGAAAAATTGTAATAAACATTATATCTGAAAAATGTTAGCAAAATAAATGACAAAGAAATTTACATAAAAGAAATACAGTTTTCTACAAATAATGCTAAAATTTGACAAAGCACTAGGAAAACTATTTGTATGTTTTTAAAAATTATTTGTGTTGTTGGCTCTGTTTGAAATGAGGACTGCATGCTTGCTTTGTTGTACTCTACCACTTGAGCCACGTCTCCTACTCTCTTTTTTGATGGTTATTTGGGAGAGAGTCTCGCGACTTTTCATTCCTGTCTAGCTTTGAAGTATAATCTCTGGATCTCAGCCTACTGAGAGCCTACTATCAGTCACCTTGCCCAGTTTAGGAAAGCAAATTTTAAATAAGTTTACATGCATGTTTCTTTTTTTTTTAAAATATAAATCTAGGCTCAATCATTTCCAATATATATTTGTGAGACCATCTTTTTAAAATTTGTCTTAATGTTCCTTCTGTTTTATTGATTTTGGTTGCATTTATTGTATATTTCCTTTGGGAAATAGTTTCAGTATTAGAAAGCATTCATGTTTCCCTTTTTAGAAATATTCTTCCCCTAAAAATGGGCATTCTCAAGGAAGATTTTAGAGAGTTGCCTCTTTTCTATGTGGCTCATGCAGAGGTGTACTTAGAATGGTCAGTGTGTGGAAATGTGAGCATACAGTGTTTTCTTCAGAACAATGCCTGCGTTTGTACATTGATTTTCAGCTTATTCAGATTAGGGAACACAGTAAGGTTGCGGGCAGCAGTAGATACAGGGGAAACTAAAAACTTGTTATCCTGACTTAGGTCACCTCCTTGCCCAACAAATTTGTGTACCAGCAGCTCTTTGCTTTACTTAAGCTGATCATTGAAACATATTGCTGTTATATGCTGCTTTGATGCTGTGTTTGGGGAGTCCAGCAAGTATCTCTGGAAAGTTAACATTTTATTTTTTTGCTTTTTGTTTTTTTGTTGTGTTCTTTTGGGATAGAGTTTCACTATGAACTCCATGCGTGAACTCTCTGGCCATGAACTCTCAATCCTTCTGCCTCTGACTTTCCTGCCTTTTGACCAATTCTGGGATTACAGGTGTGTGCCACCATGCTCAGTAGGAAAAATTAACTTTCAATGAAAAGGTATTTACAGTCTAGACTTTGTATCATAACAGAATATATGGGTACAGTAGAGTATCATTTTAGGTCCTTATAGTTACATATCTGCTTGAGGTAATTATTCTACTATACTTCACTGAGTTTTAGTTTGTTTTTCATTCATTCTTTCTTTTTTTTCTTCTTTGGCATTGATATTTGAACTCAGTCTTGCACTAGCTAGACTTGTATTCTACCACTTGAAGCACAACTCAGCCCTGGCTCTCCTGCCCTTCTCCCCTCCTCCCTCTCATTCCCTCATCCTTCTAACTAATTTATTTTTGGATATGTAGTCTTGGGGACTTTATTCCTCCTCAAACTGTGATACTCATAATCTCAGCCTCTTCAATGAGCTAGGATTACAGGCATGAGTTACTAGAACTGGCATGGGTTTTAGTTTCTTTTTCCTATTTTTTTTTAAATTTCTCTCTCCTGAATATATCTTTAAAGCAAAGTGTTTAATTTAGGAAATACCATAGAAGAGTGAAGTGAATCCTTTTTGTTAGCCAATAGGGAGAAGATTCTGTGTCTAGGCTAGCACATTGTGCTACAAGAGGCAGGAAGGAAAATTACAGCATTTATAACAGAGAGAT